ATACAACATTCATAGGACTTATGCACGCAACGTAGGTGGGCTGTGTGTGACTGTGAGCTCTGTATGTGAACTTGGAAGGGAACTGAGTTGGTTCCAAGACTGCATCTGTCACAGTCAGACTGCTGCTGACTGTGGGGCTGGGGATAACTGTTTCCAGTGTAGAAGAAGGTTGTCATACTTCAGGTCTCACTACAGCTCTGTGCTCAGTTTGTTTTTTCATTCAGGCTCACTTTTAGCCCCTGGTCTTTCCCACTGGCCACCACTAATTCACCTCCTTCTCAGAGGGCAGGCTGGGCAGCCTCTTGATTGCCTGGTTTGATGCATCATCCCAGTGAGCGCCACTGCCTAAAAGAAGGGCATTAGCAGTGTTGGCTGAGTTGTGTTGGAGATGGAGGAGCTTAAAGAGGGTGGGATGGTGTCTGGTACACTGATAGAATCAGAGGTAGAACAAAACCCTGGGGTCCTTGTTTCTCACATCTCTGCCCCAATTAGCAAAGTGCATTTCCTTCTGTTTTCTCAAGCAGCTATGAGCTTTCCCTCTTGCCTGACCACCAGATCAATGTGAATGCCACAACTTTAGCACTTGCTTCTACTTCATAAGCACTGGGGAGCTGCTGTAATGCTTACAACACTCATGATGTCACTGCTGGGTTTAAGCCAGTGGTCTATTTTATGATTAGAGGGGTTTTTTTCCACTGGAACAACTTCAAGATTTTTTCATCGCTTGCCCCTGTTTGTTCTGTGCACCACTGAAGTGTAGAACATGGAAAGAAAAGGAGTGAGGGGGAGAAATTGACTGGTCTGTGGCAGAGACTGGCAACAGTGCCTGTCTTAAAAGTTCTCAGCAAAGCTCATCTCACAAAAACTCAGAAGCCTGCAGAGAATTTTTTCTTTTATATGGAAAAACATGAAATGAGCATTTCTAAGTGAGAGGGCTGTGGTTTTCCTGCTCTCCTGCAGCCAATACAGACAGATCATGCCTTCCCCCCCACCAGCTTTTTCTGTGGAGCCATGTGCATCCCAAGGGACAGAACAGAGCAGCTCCTAAACACAATAAACATTACTCTGTCTGCATTTGTTTTTACATTTCTTTGTTTTATTTCTTGGTTTGTCTGAAATGACCTGTACCACAGGAATACAATTTATTTAACAGGTTGTTATTTTTTTTAGGAGCAGATAATAGTTAAGTAGATACTGTTTATTTCACTGACTGTCTATGACTCCCTGCATCATTCTCACAGCCTCTGTCTCTCTCTGGCTTCTCCACATAACCCAGCCACAAGAACAACAGAGCAGCCATTGGCCATATGATTGATTATAGATTGTGGATACAAAGTGGAAGCTCTGTTTTCTTAGCTCCAATTGGTAATAAAAGCTCAACATGTTACATTCTAGGGTCTTTCTCAATTACTTGCCCCTCTAATAGCTGCTTACATGTTTCTGGTGAAGCATGTTTTATTTTATATATTTATAATAGTTAAAAAGAAAAAAAAGATGACATAGCTTACAAAGAGAAAAATAATGCCCCCTTAGCATGAGCAATACTGCAAGGTTCCGATTGTTGTGGGGACAACACAGTTGTAGCTTCACAGTTTTGCTGCGAGGTGTAATGCCCAAGTTTCCCCAGAAACCTAAATTCAGAGTGGTAATTTACCTTTTAATTGATCCCCGTGAAATTTGTTTTGCATTACAGGTCAGACACTGCTGTTCCCAGAAAAGAACGAGCCCAAAACAGAAGAGCTGGTCACTTGGGAAAAACTGCCTTTTGTAGTAGCTGACAGGTACATGGTTTCTGTTATCCACACATGCAAATCAGGGGCTGGAACTGCTTTTACCATAGTTGCTGGTGTTGGTTTATTCACTGTCACTGATACACTTACCTCTACTGCTTCTCTTTTCTTTAAAGTCCTAGAGCCCATCTGTGTCCCAAGGCTCAAGCTCCATCATCTTTTGCCCCATGAAGGACAGCTGTATGACGCTGACTCTGTGAATCCTGTATTACAAATGAGCAGCATAAAGAGCACTGACCCAGAACCCACTTCCTAGTTCATGTCTCACCTTCCACATCCCCAGACCTTTTTGTAAGAGACTGTGAGCATTCAAAAGACCTAAGCAGTTGCTGAAGCTTGATTTCCTACTTCAAAGTGCATTGGGGGGACTATACTACGTTAGACTACTGTGCAATCCCAGCTCATTGCATAGCTGGAAATGCTCCTCAGCTGTGTCAATGTGATAGCACTTGTGATGCACAGCAGATCAGAGTAACTGGGAAGAGATGATTGTGATTCCTGCACTCGTTTGAAGGGCTCAAGAGACCTGATCTTCCCAACTTAGGATGGTACAAGCCTTTTAAGGGTTAAATCTAGACAGGTGTTTGTGTCCCAGTTCCTGGGGAAGAGTTTGCATTCCTTGGTTGTTAAAGATTTTAATATGTCCTAAGTAGTGTCTGGTTCACTTCCCATCCTATTTCAGAAGAAATGCAAACATTTCCCTGCATATTATCTTCAAGCAATGGAGAATATTCAGATGGGCTCCAATGTTATACAGCTTTAATGGAGAAAGAAGTTCCTGGAAAAAATGTATTTGGTATCTTCATTTTGCTGTGCCAAGGCAGGAGATGTCTCCATCCTGTAGCCCTAATCTAAATAGCCAGCAGTCTCTGTGGGTTAGAAGCTAACTCGGCAGATCTCCACAACCATGTTTTGTAGATAGTTTCCTGTTATGGAGAGCAGGCCTGAGTTAAAATACAACAAAGCTAGAAGAGACTTTTGGGGTTGTTTTGGGGAAGTTTTGGGGTTTTTTTTTGAGGATATTTGGTGGGTGTGTTGGTGTGTGAGTAAATGACCTTTCCAGCAGGGCCCAACAGAGTAAGAACTGCTTCTTAGGATCTTTTCAACCCATTTGGGACAGCTACCTTTGCACAGCAGGTTGGGACACAGTGTGCTGCAGCTCAGCTGGTGGGACTGGGAAGCATTGCAGCAGTGGTCAAGTGAGTCAGACTTACAGATGATAATGCAACCCAGCACATCTGTGAAAGCACTTACACCACAGCCAGAAGGAGTTACCAAAGTGCAGCACAAGGCAAGCTGGCTCTGTAATGCATTTCACTTTGGTCCCTCAGTCACAGATGGATACAGGGATCATGAGTGCAACCAAAAGCCTCTCATTTTCTCCCCAGCTTTCTCTGGGAGGGTGTGAGGGAGAGAAGCACAGGTACCTGCTTGAAGCACAAGGCCACTGTGTAATTGCTACTGCTGTGAGCACAGAAGGAGTACCAGTTCTCCTGTGCCTTCTGCCCCTTAGGTCTTGGTGGTTTACTAAAATACCTGAAGCAAGACAACTCCTTTACCAAGTGAGTACAAAATGAGTGGCTGTGTAACACAGGAAGACTCAAAGGAGATGGAACGTAACTAACTTAAGTACAAGGTGTGGCCTGGCTATGAGAGCTGAGAGGTCACCGTGCCAGCACCCTGTGTCTGAGCCTGCCAAAACAGGGTCCTGCAGTACTGACAGCCCTGCTGGGACATATTCTGTTCCAGCAGAAAAGCAGCCAGTGTCTCTGATCACTCACCTCAACCCTGGTTTGGAAGACTTACTCCTGAGGACAAGCTACTCCTCTGACACACCACCTTTCTCCTGGGGAAGCCAGGAAGGGGTGGAGAACAGAGGCAATAGTTAGTAGTGTCTCAAATGTAGATCAGAGGTTTTTTCTCACCTCTGGTGCCACGCTGCTGACCACAAAAAGAAGACAATATGCTCAGGTTTCATCAGCTCAGGATGACTTAAAACTAAGTGACCTAGAAAATAAAGTTTCAGAGAACACCAATAGTCAGTTTTGTCAGTCACCTACATTCCCCTCTGGCTACTGGGAATGCAGCGGTTATGGCTTAGGCAGCAGATCTAAACCAGGGCTTGGAGACAGCAGGAACCTGGTTACATAAGAGGAGTAAATAAACATTCCCCCTGTTCTTCTCCTGCCACCTCAAGGTCAGGTATTTGGTTTCTGATCAGCAAGAGAACCTCATACCAGCCCCAGGTATAATCTATGCTAGCTCTTTTCCTGCTGTTGAGGATAATGGGATGAGGCAGGGAAAGACAGTAGTTGGAATATCAGGGGTTTCATGCCATCCTCTAATTTATTTCCCTAGGCTGCCACAAGAAAGCAATCTCTCAGGCTCTAGAGCTGCCTCCTCTGAAAAGCAGTGCCCTTGATTCCTAACTAGAATTTGGCAATAAGCCTAAAGTCTCTGTGGAGCCAAAGAGCTCTAATGAAGTCTAGGAAAGATCTGGTTTGGGGTGTATTTATACTTGGGCAGTAACCATGCAGAAAAAGCCTTGTGTTCTCTGCCACAAGGAACAGGTGGGCAATGGCACTCAGCTGAGCTGAAGAGGCAGGTGTGATACACTATGGGGTGAAAAGTGTGGAAGAATTGTAGTTAGCACCACATAGGAGATGATGCAGAGATTATCAAGTCAACCCAGCACTGAAGCATAACATCAGGCTCTTTTCTCTGGCCATTTGGGAACGACTTGCATTTTCTCAGGGACATACATCCTACCTCTTCAGGGGCCTGCGGGGATTGTACATGGGAGGGACTAGCCAGGCGTAATGACACACTGTACAAGGTCGCAGAATATCTTACACAGTTAGGAGCATCTTTCCCAGTAAGAAGTGGGGCCTGTATGTACAAGTGTTAGAGGAGTCTGGGAGGCAGCCTGTTTGTTCAGGAGAGGTCCAGCAGCATTGTTCTCCAAAGGAGCATCTACTCTATAGTAAGAGGCAGAAAGGTGACAAAAAGAAGGACCATGGCTGCTTCCTTTTCTAACTGACCCCTCGTAACACCAGATAAAGTTTATATTGACTCTATTCTTCCTCTCTTCCTGCTTCTGTCCCCAGTCCCCCTCCAGAACTGGCAGAGGGAGCTGGGGAGCAGGCAGCCTGGACAGCGCTGAGAGCATCACTGATCAGAGGGGCTGAGCCCCAATGATGCCTCAACAAGTGCAAGAGCATAATCTGGTATTTCCCACAGAGAAAACAACAAAAAAAAGAGAAACAGGTGACTGATTAAAAGTTTCCCCCCTCCTGTACACAAGATTCTGCAGTCACGCCGACAGATAGACATTAAATAATTCTTCCATAATAAATGATTGGAGATAAAAGCCGGCGGTGGCTGCTGCTGCTGTTTGGATTGCTCCGTTGTCTGCATCTTTGTTTCTAGTTTGTTCCCCGGCCACTGTCAGCTGGTGCTGGGGCTGTCAGACCTTTGCCTCTAGCATTTCTAGGAAGAGTTTATGCATGGGAACCTTGCCCTGTAGTTTGATGCTGTAGAAGTGCTGCACAGCTTTAGCAGCTGTCTGCCGCAGGAGAGGCAAGGTCAGGAGCAGCTTGCCTGCTCGCCGGGGCTCCTCATTGCGCTGACTCAGCTCGTAGTCCTGCAGGGCTTCGTGGAGAAGGTCCTGGAGTTTCTGCACTGCATCCATGTCTTCTATGTGCATGGAGTCTGGGATGAGGGAGAAAAGACAGCAGATGAGTCACACATGAGAAAGGAAATCCTTTATGTTTCTGAAGCTAATGATGTTTTCTTTCCTTCTTATCTGTTCTTGTGGGGATTTTTTTTTGTTGTTGTTTGTTTTTGTTACCCCCACTCCACCCCCACAACCCAGGGCAGGGGGTGAGGGTTTGTTTCTTAAGCAGAAAAAACCAGCTTGCTGGCAGGTGTGGTGCTGCTGCATGAAGTGTGGCAGCAGCCCAGCGTGTTGGCCCTAGCAGTGCAGGGACAGTAAAGGTTGCCAAGGCTAGGTGGGTGCCACACGTGCCATTTTGCCAGCCACCCCAATGCAACGCAGGGGTCAGGCAGGGGCCTTTGCGATTTGCACTTCCACTTGCCCTCTGTGCTCCTTATGGGGAGAGTCACCCTGCAAGGGGCAGCAGCTGCTGTGCTGCCGCTTGGGAGCAATCTCATTAAGAATAATTAACGCTGCTATAGCGCTTCATCTGTCTAAACTGCCTAATTGCCGTGCAGCTGCTAAGGGTGTCAGCAAGACAGAAAAGCCCCAGTAGGTCACAACCAGCGTGCCCAGGGGTGTTTCCAGACCCACCTTTGTTCATATGGCCCTGTTTTCAGAGACCACCAGCAGCTGCTCAAGGAGCTTCCTGCTGAAATAAAGGAAACCTATGGCTCCTGAATGGCATCTTCCCTTAGGCTGCCTGTTAGATTTCTATGAGCTGTTGGAGGGGCTAGCAGGGTTTGCAAGGCTCCCTGGAGAGTCTGTGAAGCAAAGGTAGCTAGCTGGTAAGGACCCAGTCCAGAGCTGAGATAGGCAGCCAGCTTAAACAGACTGCTAAACTTGTGGGTAAATCATGGTGTCAGAGGGCAGCACTGAAGAGCAGAGAGGCACAGCATCACCAGATTTTCTTCTTTTTCATCTTGCTGATATGTGCTTCTTTCTTACAAAACCATGACAGAACTGGAGACACAGATGCCTCGTCTTCGTTGTTCAGAGACTTAATACTGAACCTACTGATAAAGATTCCTGCCACAAGGCAACAGATCCAGAAGCAATGGCAAAGAGAGACAGTGTGGCAAGCACACATGCACACACGTAGTTGCACCGCCTGCCATCACAGCCTGGGCTTTGCAGTGTGGCAGTGCTCTGGCTCAGCCTACGCACAAACATAAATGTGAGGACATGGGTTCCCCAGAGTGACAGCAGTGAAGGGGAGGGAAGCTGACTGAAGTGCCAAAATCTCTCTAGAAACATGTGTCATCTTTATGGAGAGCACAACACAAATTAGAGACTGTGGATTTTGTAAGATATTTGTGGTAAAAATGCTATTTATGATGCATGATTTATAAAGTATTACAACAGTTGGGAAAATATTATGTCTAGCAAGAAAGCTGTTTAAGAAGCTGTTTAGAAGGAATGCACTAATTAAGAAGGTATTAAAGGGAAGTATTCCTAAGAAGCCTACTGAAGAATGATTCTTGATGCATTTTATACTTTTTATCCAAGAGACCAGGCAAAGAAGCTCAGAAGAGGGCTGCTAGGTCATCACACTGACCTGAGCTAGACATAGAGGTTGATTCTGGAAAGAAGAGGGGAAGAAGCATGTTGCCAAGTCAGTCTGGCAACTTCTCCCAGCCAGGTAGCACCTCTGAAAAATTTCCATACACAATCCAAGAGAAGTGAGTGGGATCTGTTTCCTGCCAAGTTGCAGAGGTCATTTTGAAGACTGGAAGTATCAAAAGCTGGAGTGTCCTCTATCCTTTCTGCTTAATGTCCTTCTGGCTAGGGGCACAAAAGGGAGAAGTAATCACAGCCTGTCAGAGTTTGCAGATCCCAGCGAGTGCTAGAATTACTGTGCAATGAGCCATGCTTCAGGGCCAAGTAGGTGCTCTGCCTTTGGATACTGATGCTGCTGTACACTAGACAGAATCCCAAAACTGCCCTTCTGCTACCTGCCTTCTGTAAGGTGACAAGAATTAACAGCACTAAATAACTTAGCATATACAGTGAAGAGACTGGGGAAATAAAGATCAAAGCCTGCCCCACCCCCACGACACGCGGCTGAAAGAAGCTCAAAATTGGCAGCTGACTGCAAAAAATAAAACAACATTGCAGGATTAATTTCCTTGCAATCCATCAGTGAACTGGTGTCGATGGCATTGATAAACTGTTAATTACGAAATCAATAGCTATGAATTTTTACAGCTATCAGAGCACTGAGGTGGGGGCAGGCTGCCTGACCATGTCCCTGAGGGTCAGCTGGCCTAGCTGCTTCATACCAGCAGCCCTTCTCTAGTAGGGCTGGCATGGGGTACAGGGCAGGTGTGAGAATGGATGAGGCCCACTGCTTCCTCACCTAACTGTTCTTGCAGCTTCTGATGGGAATGGGAACCTCACAGGACCCATTAGTACAGAATTTGCTATGCATCCCTTTTCCAGATCTAGACGTTGCTCACTCCATCTTAGCATTAAAATGCATTGCAGAAAAAAAAAAGGGGAAAATAAATTTTGTCCACATTGGAATGTCCTAAAATGAATGTGTGCTGTATGCTAACCTAAGGGCTACTTAATACATAGGTTACTCAATTTTTATTCCTAAGGAAAGAGAACTTAGGAATGCTTAAAAATGCACTGCTGACTCTGAAGGGTAACAAATTAAGTCTGCAGTACCCCTATTCTATCAAAAAATGGGTGATCATATTGTTTGGGACTTGGGTGCTGCTCTGGGAATTCAGAATTCATCCCTCAGCAGAATTTCCTTGAATTATCTTTGCCAATCCCAGCAGGTGTGTTGTTGGTGTTTCACACCAAGGACTCAGAGATCAGCCTACTGTCAGCTTCTTCTCTAGTAAAGAGTGAGTGAGCTCCCACTTCTATTTTCATTTGCTTGAATTCTTAGAACCAAAGGGTCTAACCTAAACCAAAGTATACACAGGTCTGCATGACCAATTACACCCAGAATTTATCTATAGGGGAGGGAAGGCAGAAACAGGTTTAGGTAGCACAGATGCTAATCTAGGTGTTCATCTTTAAGCCCTATCTCTGATCCAAAGGAGCTGAAGCCCGGCCCAAACTTCTTTCCTCTCATTTTAGGAATTGGCTGTTTGCATGCAAGCACATACATGCAGGCTCTGTAAGTTTATGCCTGTCAAAAATATACTAAGAAAAATAACTGGCATTAAAAGAATGTGAAGGTTCAATGTTAAGTTACTACAGAAAAATACACCTGCCCTATTCCAGCTTCCTTACCTCTGTGTTGTGAGAAGCTTTAATTACATGAAAAACAAAATCCCATGCTTTACTTTCATAGGATTTAATACAAATAACAAAGCAGGACTTTTGTGGATTATGCTCCTACATAGCTACACTTCTAGCTGCACTAGGAGAAACCAGTGAAGTCAGAGTCATTTTTTTTCCATCCAGCTGAGAACATGCTTTGGCCTGTGCCTCCTGACCCTTACCTTGGTATCTTTGCTCCACAGCACGGGAAATGGAACCCCAAAGCATCTGATGAATGTTGGTTGTTCTGCTCTCTGTTCAGTGTTACTCCACTCCTGTGGAGACTGCCTCATAAGGTTTACTCTGGGCTTAGTCCTGAAAGCACAGTAAGCAACAACAGCAGAGAGTGCTTCTGTTGCACTGTGAAGAACTTGACAGCACTGTCCACAACATGGGCCAAGTGAATGTCCCAGTGTGGCACTTCTCCTGTCACAACTGCTACCTTAGCACTTCAGCCTCTCTGAGGAGCCTTCTCCCTTTTTAATCCTGTGACCCTCCAGGTAGACAGGTTCATTTGCAAGTAGATTACATCACCCATGGCCACCACTGCACTGAGAGAGGCTAGCCTTGGCCATCTGCCCATCCTGGTTCAGTGGCAAAGTGAAGGCAGCAATTAAAACGAAAATAGCAATATATGAGAAATTGTAAAATGGAACAAAGTTATGAAGCGCAGAAAAACGATAAGGGAAATGAAGGACATAGGAAGAAAAGCCATGGCTAGAAGGGCTAAGGACAGTAAAGAAGTTTTATAAATATTTAAGGAATAGAAGAAAAATGATCATTTGTAGGGGGGCTCTTTTCATCTGGAGATGATTAACCTGTTAATAGCAGTGCAGAGTAGATAGAAGTCCTCTGTAAGTATTTCTGTCTTATTTAGAAAAGAGAATTTATATTTATATACCTGTGTTATATGAGGATGATGAAGACTTCATAGTCTGTTTATGCAAGAAGATATTAGTACTATTAGGACAAACTTCACAGAAATCAGCAGAGCTGGGTAACTTGGCTTTAGGGGTACTAAAAATGCTGGCTGAGGGTCATCTAGGGCAGATTAATGAGTCTTGGTATTTTTAAGAAATTCAAGATGACTGGAAATATTCTAATGATGCACATATTTTCCTAAGTCATATCTGATAATTTCTATGCTAGCCTCATGTGAACCAGGGCAAAAATAAAGGAAAAACTAAAGTTGACATTCAATTAAGTCTAATAGGATGGCATTTATAAGACATGCAAATGTTGTACTTCGGGACATGGTTTTGTGTTGGACTTGGCAGTGCTGGGTTAATAGTTGGAAGTGGTGATCTTAAAGGTTTTTTCCATCATAAATGATTCTGTGATTTTACTGCCAGTCAACATGATACTTGGGAAGAGAGGTCTTCTCAAACAAACTTCATTTCATTCTCTGATGAGATTACAAGTTTGGTTGATAAAGTTAACTGCACAGATATAATAGACTTAGGTTTTTATAAGGCTTTATAAGGCTTAGGACCACAGGACATTCTCATTAAAAAATCAGCACTATGCAATATCAATAAAGAACACTTTCAATTGATTAGTAACTGGCTAGATGACAGATCTCACAGTAGCTATCAGTGGTGAATCATCCCTGAAGAAGGAGTTTTCTCATGGAAATCCAGAGGGATCAGTAAAAATACCAGCTGCTACTCAACGTTTTTATCGATGAGCTGTAAGGATTTTTTTTTTAAATTGCTACTGCTGAGGGGTGGGTGAATGGCAAACTGGGACAGAATGGTGTAAAATGGTTAGGCAGCCTCACAGAATCCTGGGCCACATGCTTACACTTGAAGTAATATATCCATAGCCACGGAACA